GAAGGGCTATTCAGGGTGTCTGAGCTTTATGGTGAACCTTGGCATTTTCTCAGCTCTTCAGGCTTTTCTGCATCTCTCCGACTGAAGAAGAGATTATCTGTCACTAAAAAATAATAGAAAGTGTTATAGAAATGTGGTCCAAGTGGTTACATGATGATGGAATTTTCTTAAAAGTAGATAGATTCCAGATGAAACCAATATATGAAGACAATGATAAAAATAACAACAGTGTTTTCTGAGAAGCCACCCTATTAACAGCATTCTGCTGAGTGCCTTCCACGTTTAACTCATCCGATTCTCCCCACGGTTCTCTGAGGTAGATGCTATACCATCCCCAGCCACAGATGAAGGAACTGAGGCTCAGAATGTCCAGTGAACATGACCAAAGGTACAGCGCCCCCAAGTGGCAGAACCAGCACATGACCCAGGCCCAGCAGAGGCTAGTGCCACGTTAAGCACCCACTGAAGGCACTTTGGTTGTGCCTCTGAGAGAGTCTGGGGACCTAGGCCAGCACTGTTATGTCGTACCCATCAGAAATCAGTTGACCAGTATCCTGAGATAAACTAGAATTCAGGCCAGATTCACTTCTGGGCACTATTCCCTCAAAGATCTGGGTGTGGTAAAAATGTCTCCAGTGCCAGCCCTATAGAGAAGTGACCCACCAGTCTCACACAGCCAGTCAGGGACTGAGCCAGGGCTACACCCCAGGTTTTCTGAGTCCCAGTCCAACGGCCTTTCTATCGTGCCAACTGCTTTTCCCGCTAACTGACGTCAGCTCCACTTATCAATTACATGGCTGTGTTCTGGAGAATACCAGCTGCTTTAAAGTAACATAGTACGGGAATCCAGACGTGATAAAATTTTATAGAGCTGCACACCAAGAAAAAGTGGTAAAGTCAAAGTAAGGTTTACTCTCGAGCTAATGCATTGTACTGATGGCAATGGTGTACACACACGCATGCACACATACACACATATGTATAAAAAACAGTTTTAACAATGTGCTGTGCTTATATGTAGTATTATCATTGCAGGAGGCTGGGTAAAGGGTCACTGAAACTCTGTACTATTTTTTGCAACTTCTTGTGAGTCTTAAATTATTTCAAAGTTAAAAATCTCTAACAATAAAAATTAATACAATAGGAAGATGAACTAAAAATATTTAATCACCTACTGTGTGTAGAGTATAGGGCTAAAGCAGCCCATTGGGGAGAGACACAAATGTGGTCGGCCCTTCATAGTATTGAAAGAGAACACCAGTCACTTGTGGACCAGCTTCGCCCTGAGACTATGGGATCAGTGCTTGAGTTTCTTCCTCTGCACTTAGGTCACCACCACCATCCACTCCTTCAACACAACTAGAACCCTCAGCGTGGCCTCTGATCCGTGGCGGGGGGCTGGGGGAGGGTGTTGGATAACGGTTAAAATCATGGGATTATGATTAAAATATCAGCTGCAGCTCTTGTTAGCAAACATGGTCTTGGGCCAATTACCTAACTTCTTTCCTACAACTTTTAGAAATATCAAAAATTGCTTTTAAGATTAAATGAGAAAAATATATGAAAATGTGAATATGATGGTGCTGAGGAGGATTCAAACTCCTCTTTCTCCGACTAGTCAGTCACCAAGGCCTGTCCATTTTGCTTCCTAAGCTCCTCTCAAACCCTCTTCACCCCATCACCATTCCCTTAGTTTAGGCTGAGGTATTGCAACACCCTCTAGACTTTATGTACCCCATTGTTAAGTAACAACTTTCTAAAAGAGCGTTGATCCTGGCCTGGCATGACATAAAGAATGCAGGGCTTCTCTTGCCTAATAAATCCATACACATGTCTCATTACCCCAGTTAGACCCAAATTCCCGAAGGCAGAACCTGAGTCTGATTCAGCCTGGGGTTTCCTAGCCTGCCTGCCTGGTGTAGTTACTCAGCCACATCAGCAATGAAAATGCATGTTTGCATGTTTAGATCCTCCTCGGCTGGTCCTTCTTGTCATTCAGGTCCTGGCCCATAGGTCACTTCTTTAGCCATGCCACACCAGGACACCCAATCCAAATTTTCCCTCGTTGGATCATCTGATCCTCATAAGAGCCCTGTGCTGGAGAAGGGACAGTTGTCAGGTATGCAATTGCCTAAAAATAAAGACCTTGAATGTATGTTATCTGCCTAGTTCTCATTGTGGGGTTCTTCCTCCTGCTTTGTGAAGTGCATAGGGGGCATTTGGCAACTCCATGGCAACCCAGCCTCTCAGAGACCCTGGGTAACCTTTACAACACTGGAAGGATGCTCTCTCTGCCCTTGCCACCCCCAAGGAAGATTTCCAGACTCCTTGTTCTGATTTTTCTCTTGAAGAGTGAACATAGCATGTTCAGAGTCCAGAGCCAGGCCCTGAGGAGACAGGAGGTCACCCCTTTAGCACTTGGCATCGCATGTGGCCATACCCTTCACTGAAACCAACCTCCGGGCTATCCGACATCTTCCAGGAAGCACTGCTGCCCTCCCTCTCCATGCTGAGATTCATCCAGAATGGCCATGCTGCACAGGAAGGTGGGAGCATCCATCACATTGTGCAGAGCGTTTTAATAGAATGCCTGCTTCACACGATAAGATGACGTTGTGTCTGTGTCTGTGGTTGTCTGAAGCAATCCATGGCAGTGTGATTTCCTTGTGATCATCCCCTTCTAACTGGGCTGAGGGCTGACGGTTGATGCAATGTCTGTCCCATCCTCGGTGGCCCTCATTCACTCTTGAAATATCCTTAAACCCTGTTTATAAGAGAGAAATTCATTACGCTGCCTATCCTCCCCACTCAAGGACACACCCATGCTACAGCCCAAGTCATTAACTGAAAAATGAATCTGAGCGTCGCCCTCCCCTTCTTCAGACATCCAGTGACTGCAGATCCCATCGGGCAAAATTCCAATACTTCACCCTGGCAAATAAGATTCTTGACAAATGCAGCCTCATTTCATCCCTCCTGGCAAGAGCATGTCAGTCTTTTCTACTTCTTACTTCCTAGGTGTTCATTCTTACCTCTGTGCCTTCATGTACTTTGTTCCCTTTACCTGGAGCGCCCCATGAGCACGAGCTCAGTCTGGGCCAGGCAAGTCCAGGGGTATGAGGAATGGACCCTTGGTGAGGAAAGTGGGAGGGTGAGATGTTGCTAGACAGGGAGAGAAGGAGTGCTGACCAGCTTTGCTGTCCCCCTTCCCTGTCAGTGACAATCAGAGGCATCTCCTGAACTCTGTTAGGATCTTGCTTTGGTGACCTGGGATCTACTTTCCAAAATCTCCATTGGTGGTGACATTTTTTTTTTGTATCAAAGCAAAGGAGAGCTGAGGAGTTGGGGAGGTGGAAATCATGCACAGAAAACATACTTTTAAAACTTCTGCTAAAATATGCATGGGGCAGGGACAAGAACTATTTGAGCAAACATGGCATTTTGAAAGGCTAATTGGGTGTGGATGAACACATTGAGGTGATATTCTGTTGTTGGTCAGAAATAATGTTTTGCAGAGAAGGTATTTGTGAAGAGAGACCAGTTGTTATTGATAGACTAATGTGCACTCGAGAATATGGAAGTAATAATGCAGACCTGTGGTGCCTGCAGAAAGGTGTCAGTCAAGTGTGAAGTTGGAGGAGAAAGAATGAACACCTGCCTAGACTCTGCCTGTACAATTTGACCTGCAGGATCCATGTGCACAGACCAGGGTTCTTTAACAAAATCAGCAGTGGACTTTGAATGGCTTGCTGACCACTTTTCCCCTGAGATGAGGTCTGATTATTGGAATTCAAACACCAGTACAAGGCTGTATTCAGCAAACATGTGTCCCAAGTTTTAGAATTTCATTCCGATTTCAAGTACCATCCCCTAGCACCACTCCTCAGTGAAATAATTCTGTCATCAGGTATTTTCCTGTCCAAACTGCAGTCCACCTACTCCATCTCCTGAGGAAGTATGACAGGATTCCTTGCTTAGACTGTGTGCCCCTATTTTGAATTCAGAAGCATCAGTTCCAGGAGTGGAAAAGGATTCCATGAAGACCATTCTATTCTGATCCAAGATTTCATTTTTTTTAATGCAGAATAAAATTGCCCCAACAGAACCATGAATGGGGAGGGGAAGATAAAGCAAAAAGATCTTGGAATGAGAAATGGGGGAATGTCTGGGGGACGGAACGCCGAAGTCAGCGTTCCTTTAAGCACTGACAAGACTGCCTATACTCTTTGTGCGCCCCTTATTTAGATGTGTATCATCCCGTTTGCTGATGTTTCTGGCCCCTCCTCTCTGCACCTGCTGCCCTGGGAAAGTGCTTTGGGGGAGCCAAGCAGAAGTCCTGGTGCCCAGCTCCTCAGAACCACAATGACCAGTGAAAACCCAGATCTCACCCAGTTTGATTTAATTTCCTAAGAAACTGGGCCTGAGAACACGACTTGTGGGGTGACTTCACTAAGTGTTTGAATCATCTAGTCATTTAGGATGGAAGACTTGGGGACAAACCCTAGTTTTAGGTGTGGCACTTATCATAGTCCCAAAGAACTTCCTTATATAAAAATCCGAACACGGCCCAGCCTCTTCTCTCTCAGAGTCCAACAGGGGAATGGATTCGTGGGACAGCTTCCCTGTCCAGCCTGTGGGATAAGTGTTCATGTCCCCACTCTCTCCCCATCCCATTTTCCTGCATTATTTTTCTCCTGGTCATTTACCGCCACCAAACGCACTATTTTGTTTACTTGTCTTGTTTCCTGCCTGTGTCCCTACCCAGCCCCTAGGATGTACAATTTCACAAATACCTAGAAGAGAAAGTCCTTGCCCAGAGTAGGGGCTCTGTGAATATCTGTTGAGTGAAGGGAGGCATGAACTTGCTCATCTACAGGAACTGAATGGGGCAGGAGGAGGGTCAGTCCGAGTCCCACCACTAGATCTTCAGCCCTTTCCCTCCTTCCCCAGATGCCCCTGATAGATGCTACAGGAGTCTTCTGTTTTCCACCTCTTTGCAGAGCATCGGCTGTGACGACTACCTAGGCTCGGACAAAGTAGTGGACAAGTGCGGGGTGTGTGGAGGCGATAACACGGGCTGTCAGGTTGTGTCGGGCGTGTTCAAGCACGCCCTCACCAGCCTGGGCTACCACCGCGTGGTTGAGATTCCCCAAGGAGCCACAAAAATCAACATCACCGAGATGCACAAGAGCAACAACTACTTGGGTAAGCTTGGTCTTTTTCCAGAGGAATCCATCTGTCACTGCAGTGCCTTATTTCCTCCAGGATCATGAGATGGGCACAGTAGTGTACAGAGGTCCTTGGCCACACAGAAGGTCACTGGGGAAGCCAGAGCAGCACCCTCCCCTTGAAGTGAGCTGCTTGGGTGGAGAAAGTTTAAAAAGTCCTAACTGCAAGTGATGTTTAATATTTACACACGTAAACCATCCATCCTTCTTTCCAAGAGAAACATGGTTATGAATTCAGTAACAGGCTCAATTGTCTCTGAGATGGGGGAGGGTCTTTGACAAGCCGAGGTCTGACAGTCTTTGTTCTGGGAAATGTGAGGTGGCGGAGGGCAGTTGGTGATCCTGTCTGGACCTTCACTCCCTGGGGCCCCAAAGCAAAAGCTATGTTTCTCTTCTTTCTGCCTCATCTCCCTGGGGCAACGGTATGCGTGTATTTTCTGAACAACTGCAGAGCCACTCAGCAATCATTTTGGGCAATATCATCAATAATGAGAGGCCATGTTAGCCTATTTTCCTGCAGAAGGAAATCTTTGTTGATTTCTAAGTTTCTGGCTGGTTGCATTTTATACAAAACAATTGAGGTCTTACAAATTAATTTTTACCAATTTCTAATTCAAGTAAACATGTATAAATCAATTAACAAAATACTAAAAGGAAAGCAATCTCTTAAAATCTTTTAATGAACAATATTCATTTCTGTTTTTGAATTATTTCTTTAACAGGAGTTTAAAAAGCACAGACTGGTGCCAGGCATGGTACACTCTCAAGAGCCCTAAGGGATGGGAGCTGTTCCCATCCCCATTTTAATAGATAAGGAAACAGGCCCAGGGAGATACACAGCAAGGAAGACGCAGAGCTGGGATTTGAACCCAACTAGTCTTTTTCCAAACTTGGTGGTGTACCAAGAGATGTTGCCCAAGAGCAGTTCTCAGAACCAAGTTCTTCTGGAATAACATCAGCCATGCCGCAGTCAATGGCTGCAACAGTTGAGAGATCCTTCATTTTGCAAATTTCGTGTCTCAGGATCACCAGAGAACTCCAGGTTCTGCAGCAATTCCTTCTCTGCCCAGTCAAATGCAACCAGAATTTGCCTCACTTAGTGTTCTTGGTAGGAAGAGGTAGGGATGGCAGGTAGAACTCTGAGACAAACCCAGTTAATGTGGAAAGCTGCCTCATTGGCTCTGGCAAACCCAGGAACCATCAGCGTGGCAATAAGCCTAGGTTGCCAGTGAATGGTTTGTGTATTATTTTTAGATGCAAAAAATAGTGTGTTTCCTCCTTTCTTTTGTACTATTAGATCACATCTCCATAAACATCTCATCTCCTAGAATGGGAAGTGTTCATCAGGGGATTATTTGAAGTGTGACTGTTCAAATGCACCAGCAAACAATGCCACTTTTTATAAGCTTTGTGTTATTTTAGTAAGTTTTCCCTGGCTTGAATGAGTTCTCTTCAATAAGTGGTTTTTAAAGTTGTGCCCTCTGAACATAAAACCCACATCTTGGGTGAATATCCACTGGATGTCTGAATAGACACTGCTCAGTGTTTCAGTCTAGTGCATGGAATAAGAATCCTGACCTTTCAGGTATTTGTGAGAAGCAATAGGATATCAGATATTCAGGACCCAACAGAGCCCCTGGTGTTTATTAACAGTTGACAAATACTCATTCACTTTCTTTTTGTCTCAGCTTGTCAGTGGTCAAAGCTTTATGATATCAATAAATTCCATCTCCCCCTAAAAAAGCTGATGAGGAGATAGAGGAGAATGAAAGTACCCAGAATCAATGGGAGGGTGATTCAGAAAGTTGAGTTAAACTTCCTATGCTACGCAATCAGGGGAGGACATGAGAAAGTTAAAGTCTGTGGCAATATTACATGAGGCCACATGGGCAAAGGAAGAAGAGTGGAAACCAGAAGAGCAAGCTCTAGTGAAGGGAGCATCCACAGGGGATGAACGGGAGGTTCTCGCTGTAGAACTTACACACCACTGAGGATGTAGCATCACCTGGGATACTCTTTTATTTTTAATTTTTAATTCTTTTTTTTCATTGAGATATAATTCACATCCATAAAACTCACCCTTTTAAAGTGCACAGTGGTTGGGATGGTCATTTTCTCATCACAAGTGTTCTCTATACCTATCCAACTTATCCTGCTAAATCTTATGTTCTGTGTGTCTGTGTATCTTAAAAGTTAAAATTGCATAAGATTGCTTAAGATTATGTATATAAGCGATTAGAGCACAGGTCTGTCTGGCTATTTTTGAACTGCCCAGTGCTTGTATTTTACATTACACAATTCAAAACATTGAAAGATTTTTCAGATACAAATGGTGGGTTTCTCCACAATATTCCAGGTAATGATGAAAGCTTGGTTTTCTTACTTTGGGATTTCTGGCTATGTAAACAGTATTTGTATGAAAATTTAACTCGGTTTACTTAATCGATTTGGCTGCATATATTTGTTCTGCAGAATAATCAATGTAGAGGAAATGAATAGTTCAGATTTGTATCATTACTTTTAAAAAAATTACAACTTTAACTTGTTTTTCAGTTGCCCTATTTTCCTGAATTATCTTTAGTTATTTGTGATGCAAACCAAAATTCCCTTGTGAAACACTTTGTATTTTTTAATGACTGACTCCAAACTTGACAGAGACGAAAAGCAGCTTTCTGTAAAAACAAGACTTGTCTTAGTGCTAGAGAAGATGGTTTTAATCACCTCATTTAAAAAGTTTTTTTAAACCCTCAATATTTAAATGACCCTAAGCCACTCACTCTGTTAATAATGGTATTCATGTTATATGAATATATAGCACCTTGTCTCATACCTGGTCTTCTGAATTTTGAAACTGGACATTCTTTGCTTTAAAAAAAAAGATTTGGTGTGTTAGTTACTAATGATGCAATTACAGAGTTAGGCTATGAAAATTAAAATTTAAACATCAAATACTACATAGCAGAAGGAAGCAGGTATACCAAAACCCTTGGCTAATAGGTAAGTAGTAAGTTTATGGTTTAATTTGGCTGGGCCATCAGTAACTGGACCTGCTGGATTCAGGTTCTGAAGGCCTGAGCGCTGGCCCTGGTCCTGTAATAACTCCCAGAAGGACTGGGCCGCACAGAGCTGGGGGCACAGGCCAGCTCATCACTTTGTGTTTCTCTGAGCAAAACTGGAAAAACCATGACATTGAGTGGTGCACATATTTCAGGAGATAGAATGTTTGCCTCATTTTATGTTAGAAACCAATGAAATTCTACAGATTTGAGCTCCACTTTTCAGTGGCATGGTTAATTTGAATTTGTTCACATGCTCTAAAATATAGACTAGTTGACACTTTATAGATTCCTAGATTTTTTTGAATGGAAAAAACTTTGGAACCCTTATATCTGTAGTAAGCTATGTATTTTCCTTTTGCACATAAGTTACTCAGAACACTTCTCTTAGGGAATAAGGAGTTTAATCTAATTATATTAAAATGTTTGACATTTTATGTTACTTGCCCCTTCCTTAATGATAAGATGTAAAATTATTTTAGCTGAAATATCAAAGTTTGGCATAGTTCAGCCAGCTCAGTTTGCTGATGTCATTATGTACCAGTTAAGAAATCAGACATAATAGCATGCCAAACAAAAAGTGATTCTACAGGACATGTTCCACCTGTCAACACATTACATTGTCATAGAGCTTTAAAGTCGGAAAGGATTTTTTTAAAGGTCTGTAAGCTTTCAAAAATAAACTGGCAATATCTTTTAAGTATGTTTTCTTAAATGTTTTAGAAAATAATAATAATGGTCCACATTTTAAATATCAAGTATCATGGGTCATCTTTTATTTAATTTATTTGTTGAGCAGCTTGCTGTATAGGAAAGATTGGAGAATTTTAAAATGATGTCTTGTATTTGTATGACAATTAACTCCAAAGATTTTTTCATATGCATTGTAAAAATTTTGAACAAAAATATAGAAAATATAGAACAAAAATATGAAATTCCTCCTTCATGCCAACCCCATGCTTGGTCCACTGCTATCAAGTGGAAAGACAGACATAAATAACCACTCTGAACAGTTCAGTGACTATCCTCCAGTCCCCTGGAAAAATACATGTTTTCTAAAGTTGATATTAGTGCATGTACTTTTTGCAATATGCTTCTTTAATATGATATCATGGTATTTTTATATGAATACATATAAAGTTCATTCATTATTTTTTTGAATATAGAAATACTCTGTACAATGGATGTGACAACATTGAAGTATTTTCCTATTGAGAGATGTTTAGACTGTCTCCAGTTTTCTAATACTACAAATAATACTTCAGGTTTTTGGTTCAAGATGGCAGAGAAGGTACATGAGTTTTTCTTCCCTTCCTCCCAAGATTCCATAAAAATGATACTAAAAGAATAAAAAAAGATATAACCTACCGCCATTAAGAAAACAGGAGGGGAGGGGCATCTGTTCAATGACTTAAACGAATTTCTGGAAGAGGAAATTTGAGCCTGGGTAGCAGAGGAACTGTGATGAGGAGGGGCCATCCTGCATCAGAGCTTAAGGGACCTCTGAGTTTGGGGGGCAGCAAGTAAAATGGAGAGTGGGATAGGAGAAAAACAGGGAATAGTGAAAAAAAAACATGTTTATGAACAAGCACCCTCGCACACACATTCAGAACACTGGCATCTACCTCCTTGTCCAAAGCAGAAGGGCATTATGCACTATGGCACACATGGGAGCACTTCTCCAAAACCCCGGTCTTCACTCTAGAACTGGAGGGAGGGGAGCTCTGCGACCAGCTCCCTGTAGCCTCACACTGCAGACCGTGGCCTGCTAACAGGCTCTGCCATGAGTGCAGAGTTCTCCAGCAGCCTTCTTGCCGCTCTGTCCGAAATGTCAACGGCTAACTGAAAATAACAGGAATGGACAACCAAGAATCACTAGACATTATTTTAAAGCTGATGCATGAAAGAGAAAACCCAAGAT